TTAATTTTATAATATATAGGCTATAAGTAAATACAAATAACGTAAACGGTAAATCACAAATAAATAATGTTCATATGTCTTCGTCAGATCCTTCGTTGGAAGAAGACTCGTCACTGTCGTCACTTGAATCCTCATTAAGATTAATGACGATAGGATTAATTTCCGAACATAGATCAGTTTATATTTCTCTTTCAATATATTTATCTTCTACCTTTATAACATGATCGCATCTCTTTTTCCATTCCTCCATACCGATTTTGTTAAATTCTTCTTATGCTAATTGTTTTACGTCTTCTAATTTAAAGGTAAAATTCCTTTGACTGACATTATTCTTAACAGTTGCCCAAATCATTTCGATAGGATTCAAGTCGGGGTGATATGGGGGTAACCGTATTCTCGACACAACTCATCAAATGCATATGTTACAAGTCGGTCCTCATGAGATTTAATCAGTTCATATAACTCTGGTTTCAAACTTGTTGGATTAAAAGGTATGTTGTATTTTGTCAACCATTCGATCATATCATTCTTCAAAGAATTGGAATTAGGTGCTCGATTTGTCTGTACATTGTGATAACTTGCATTATCACAAACAATTACTGAATTAGGTGGAAGATTAGGTATTAACTTCTCTATTAACCATTTGCCGTAATTATCCGAATTTATTTTGGAATGCTATTCTCCAGACTTGGTCCCTGATTTGAATATCAACAAAGTATTTTTGATAAAACCCATTTCTCCCCCACCGTGATGTAAGGGCTTTTCTCGCCACAAAAAAAAACGGTTCCTTACGAATGGCGCTGGTTACGGGCGGTTCTCTAGCGCCAGATTTTTGGTTATGGTTTACTCCACAAACTCTCGAAACGGCGTCGAAAGTACTCGGGTAGCTACAGATGGAGATGAGAAATTCCAGGGTTAAAGGTCACTTAGACACAGGTAATAGTAGGCCACAAATAACGGGCTTTAATCGTTGCTTGGGCTGGTACAAAATTTATCACAAGCTGAAATTCAAGGGGGAAATAGAGTATTAAAGTATATATTTCAACTCCCACCCTAGTTGCGATGATAGTCAATATAACCCTGAATAAAAAAATAAAGAAACAAAACGGACGGTATTGAATCCCGACTAGTTTCAATCAGACGTCAAAATTGAATTAAAATTAAATGAATATTAACTTGGCTATTTAGTCGGTAATTAAAGTAAAACATAATTTTCCATTTCGGTAAGGAAAAATTCTAAGAGCAGTCGTAGCAAAAATTAACTATCTCACTGTCGTATCGAGAAATAAACTAAAATGTACGTATTTTACTATTTCGGTAAGGAAGAATTATCTAAACGGTCACAGAGAGTGCGAAGAGACAGGATCGCGAAAGAACTACTTATAGTAAATATATGGAAAGGGAAAAAAATTAATTTATGCCCCCCCCCCCGGGTATAAATTAGCCTATTATCCCAGAGTAAGCTGATCGTCATCACGAGCCTGCTTAGACAGGGTAATGAAGCTATTTAAGAATTCTATACTTTGCAATTTGCTCGAAAAAATAAAGAATACAAAGGGAAAAAGAAAAATATCGCGGATAGCCCTAATCCAAGAATGAACTGATCGTCATCACGAGCCTGTTCAGACAAGGACAGGATACTATTTAAAGTTTTATAAATTGACGGTGAAAGAGAAAAACAAAACTATTATCGGAGGAAAGAAAACTACTAACGCGGATAGTACCTATTCCAAGAATGAACTGATTGTCATCACGAGCCCGTTCAGTCAGGGACAGGATAATATTTAAGAATATTTAAATTTGCGGTTTACACATTAACTAAAAAATAACGCGGATAGCACCTACTCCAAGAATGAACTGATCGTAATCACGAGCCCGTTCAGGCAGGGACAGGATGTTATTTAAAATTATTTAAATTTACGGTAAAATAATTAACAAACTATTAAAAGAGGGAAAATGTCTCCTCGAAAACTTCGTTTCTAAATATTTCCAACTTAGTTACAACACGGCACTTACTAAACAAAAGTATTTATCAATAAAATCAAATTTAGTTCCCGATTTAACCTACCAAAAAGAAAAAAATTAATTTCTTAGTACAGACTAACTATCAAAAGTTTAAATCACCGGTATTACAATGCAATGTTAAAGAACTAAACCTTATTATTTATTATTTAAATCATATTCAATTCCCTTGAAAGAAACGGTATTCTATCTTCAACGAGCCAACTACTAATATTTATTAATTAAATCAAACTAAATCATTCACCCAACAATATTTATAAAAAGGGAATTATATTTGCCAAGAAATAAATTCTATTTATTAATGAAATCAAATTAAATCTTTCTCCCAACAATATTTATAAAAACGGTATTATCTTTGTCCAGAAATAAAGTCCAATATTTATTAATGAAATCAAATTATATCTTTTAACTCAACATGGAATTAACCTGTTCCTATTGCTAAAAGATAATTCGGTTTTTAAATTAAATACGCTCTTAATATAAAACGTTTCTTCTATAAAAATATGAACGTAAAAACGAAACACGGTTTTTTACCTAGCGGATTTATTAACACGGAAAATGTATCGACGGTGGACTTAGTTGAGAATTTGACTATTACTCTGAACTGGCTGAAATCAAGTGTATATTCGGAACTTTTATTTTTAATTGAATCTCGGATCTGGTTTAATCGTCGCTTCCTTTTCCAAGCAGATACCCCACCAACGGCAGTATCACCGCGCATCGATATGTCGATCGGCCGAGCGCACCTGTCTCGACGCCTAAGACAAACAGCTCGAGCGCGCTTATTTGTATTGAAAATGATAAATTATTATAAACCGATTGAGGAAAAATTGACTTCATTACAGTAAACTATAATAAGCATTTGGCCTTTGGAAATAACAGAAAACAAACCTTTTTTGAATCGTGTGTCCAATTTTTGTAACTGCTTCCTTTTTTGTTGCGTCAAAATATTTAAAAACATTGTATATTACTTCACAATTTGTCCGTTAATAACAGATCTGCGCTTTTTTTCACCCACAATAGAAGACATTATCAAAAATAAAACCAGTCACTTTAACCAAAACACAGGAACAAGAAACAAACAATGATCTAGTCGTTACGCTAATGACTGTATGCAAGGACAAGGTTCAAATTGTGAATGGGCGTGGCGATTTTTAAGTAAACGAACTTAAGCATTTGCGCTGCTTCTTTAGATTTGGCGTTTACTTTACCATTATATGATAAGTAAGTATAGTATAATGCAATTGCACATTTTTTTATTCGAGCGAGGCCAGAACCGTGTTGCAAATTGTCAATAATATTTTAGAATTCAGTATATTTTATTTTTGGTAACTTATCGAAGTGTGTAAAATAATTGTCGTAGCCAATAGGTACGTTGAAATATAATTTTTCTAAAAAGTCATTTGCATTTATTTCTATATTATAGATTTGTTCCAACAAGTGATCCGTGACAGATCCGAAATTAATTTATGATCTACTAATCTACTTATTGCGCAAGAAAACTTAATAGGAATATTTGTTCGGTAGTCCATTTATATTACATATTTCACTTTCTTTCTCTTTTACATTGATCTGAACATATATTTATCTCACTTCCATAAAACTCCAACCATCCTTACAGGTCGCTGATGCTGCTGGTTTTTTGACGTTGTCGACGTATGACGTATCCCAATGAGCACACGTACGAAAAAAAAAGGCGAAAGCTAGTTAATAACCAAACTTATAAAACGCATAAAAATAGTTGAAATATCGCAAAAAATAACGTTATTCGTAAACAAACGTTATAAAAAAACATTATTTTATTAAATTTTCAATATTCTGTTGAAAATTACTAAAAATATACGTTAGAACTGCTATACGTATAACTTATCAACTAAAATCTCAACGTTGAATTTTCAACAAATAACGTTTTTTATACCATACAACGTTAAATATACGTTAAACAAACGATTGCATGCTCAATCGGATGGACACGAACTGACAACTGACAGTGTTACGAATGTGGTTATGAACTTGTTGTTTAATTAGTTTGGATTGTGTTTATTCTCGCAAAACCTGATTCCATATTTTTAAATTTGCGAAAGCAACAATTTAAAAATCAACGAACTGTCACATGACAATAAATCAGAATGTTGTTACCATAGTAACGAAATTAAGGCAGACTGTTGTGTTAACTAGCGATCTGAAAAATGAAAAAGAGAGACCGGTAAGACCGATCAGAAAATATACACTTTCTGAACAATTTTTCATCCAGAAAGTAACATTTTGTCGATCAAGGCCGAAAAGTAGATGTTAGGGACCGGTAAAAGCTTTTTTTGGATGTAAAACGTGGAAATCGCCCGAAGGAACCGGTTGACCGGATGAGAACGTAAATCCGCCTTAGCGGGGTAAGGGCGCACTGCCCCGTTTGACTGTTAAATCGGCCCTACTCGTGGGACAGAATGAGCGAATCTGAAGTTTTTGAAACAAACCAAACCGGGGGTGACCAGTCCGGAGAATTTTCTAAAACTGGAAAAGCAGACAAGAATAGTGAAAATCCTACAAAAGGAATTATACAGAAAAACAAAGTAAACACGGACACAGCATGTAATATTGATACCCCGTCAAAGGAAAAAGTAGACAAAGAGACAAACCCACTGAGCAGACTTAGCTTCTACGGTAAATTACAGAGAAGCCACTCAGTATCAGAGACCACCAAAAAAAGGAAAATAAACGACACATCACTTGAATTCCTAGAACCATACAGAAACAAGGAAATACCAGAGGCGTTCACCTTAAAAGAGGCAATAACTTTGAACAAAAACCTCGTAGCGGACCTAGAAAAAATAATAATGGATTACCCGAATACCCAAAAAAAATCACGGAAATAAGTATAAAAAAGAAAAGAAATGCTGAGGTTTTTAACCGTAAAATGATAAACGACTGACTAGAGAATCAAAAATGGGAACCCATAGATAAAATAATAACTTTTAATGCAGATACCCAGACCCTGAATACAAAAACAACCGCAGAAGCTTTTACCCAGACTGCGCCAAGGCACGACCAGAACGAAAAAACTATAGTTAACACGGTTGAAGGCATCGGTACACTAGAAGAATTCGAAAGAGTTGAGAGAATGGAAAAAAAGAAGGATATCAACACCCAAATGAGTGTAATCATTGGAAACCCGCTCAACACAGATGACCAAACAGTTAAAGTGACCTTGGTCGAACCAAATAACCAAGAAATGCAATATGGCATACAGCGAATGTATAAAGACAAATACTCAGAACTTTTAAATATGAAAGGGCCCCTGGAAGTCATGGAATAGATAACAAAATTTAGATCAACAAACGAACAAAGTGCAGGAAAGTTATTAAAATTATATACGATGGCACAGTTGCAGACTTATATGAGCCGCAATCACTAATGGAGGAAACACACGACAGCATAAAAATAGCTATATACCACGCAGTATGCTTGCAAGTTGAGTCACTTAGAAAAATATTAGAAGTGATTTTTTACGGTAGCGGGACAAAAATTGAATTATACACCATAAATAGATATTTGACAGGAACTCAAGACGAAAAAAAAAAAATTTAAAGACACACTATGGGAATAATAATAAGCGACGAAGGAAAAACATACAAAGAGATACTTGGGAAAGCAAAAAGTATAGTAGGGAAAGGCTCTTCTACAAAAGCCATTAGAAGTTTAAAGAGCACAAAAGATGGCAAACTGCTCATGACCTTAGATAAAGACCAAAATGCAGTAAATGAAATCAGAAAGACACTAAAAGATTCCACACCAGAATTGAAAACTAGACAGCTCGGTAGCACATTTACAAGTATTAGAAATTAAAAATATAAAAAAACCAACTTTAAAAACGTGCAGATGCCATCACCACATAACCAAATTTATATGGGACCACCTCTGAGGTACCCCCTTACTAACAAAAAAAGAATCATATAAATCGGACAAGGTGGTAAAGCATTATCGCTAAACATACATAAAAAATGAAGAGTTTGAGGATTTTCTCATGGACCCAATTATTAGATTTTGACTAAATTTATAAGGGACCACCCCTGAAATACCCCCTTTCTAACAAAAAAAGAATCATTGAAATCGGACACCGTGTTAAAGAATAATCGCTGAACATACATAAAAAAAAATATCGCGACGAATTGATAACCTCCTCCTTTTTGAAGTCGGTTAAAAATAGAAACTATACACATTCGAGGAATGGACGCAGACATAACAAGACTACTAGAAGCTATAAAATTGCAATAGGCAAATGGGATGAGGACAACATAAAACTTAGCGAACTAAGACCACAGAACAATGAAACGATGGCAGCCACCCTCACATTACCAACACAACAATATTCTAGAGTTAGAGCATATACGGGTAGGTACAGTAAGATGCAGACTCGAAAAGAGGGTTAAAGTAATACCGTTGCAGATGCTGCTAGTCATATGAACACACAACTAACAATTGTGATGGCCCTTACAGAACGGACAACTGTTTCAATTGCGGACCACAACGCAATAGAATGCCTAAATGAAGAAACCTGTCCCAAATGTGAAAAAGAGGGACACAAAATAGGTTCCATGAAATTCGCTGCTTTTAAAAATAACAAAAAACAATGTCAAAATAATTAACAGATCACCAACAAATAAGAATACCTTGGAAGATATAGAGATGTACAAAGAACACGCAAAAGATACTAACTAACTCTGGAGCCAGAGTTGGAGGACTTTATACAAGCGACAGAGAACAAGTAACACATTCACTCTCATACCTAAACCAGCTACCAAATATAAAAAAGTCTCCTCTTATAAATTACATAAATAGTTCTTTCTTTCACAGAAACAAAGCCAATACTACAGGGTCTACTCTACGCTAACAAACTGAAAATGCCTGTAAACTGCCTCCAATTAAATTTAGACAGAAAACACGCCGCACATGGCCTACTGAAACAAACGATATTCGAGAAAAAATCGACATAGTAATTGAACAAGAACCAAACAAAAACAGAATAAGAAAAGTATACTGCGATAACCGATATGATAGTTTCATATACATCAACAGAAATCTGGATGTCCTAAATGTATCCAGCAACGATGGGTTTGTATGCGTCGAACTAAAAGTTTTAGCTATATATTCATGCTATTTCTCTCCCAATAGAACTACACAAGATTTAGAAAGCTACCTTTTCGAATTGGAAAAACACATAAATAGCTTGACAGGCATAAATAAAATAATAGCTGGTCATTTTAACGCCACGGCAACAATCTTCGGATCCTCTGAAACAACAACTTGAGGACGCGTGTTAGAAGAATATATCGAAGCTAATGATCTGACGATAATAAACGAAGGAAATACACCCACATTTTCGAACGCCAATGGCAATCTATTATAGACATCACGCTAGCGAATGCAAAAATTTCTTCAAACATAACTAAATGGCATGTAACTGAAGAAGAAGTCAACATGAGTGGCAATCGCACGATTTGCTTCTCGATAGAGACGACCAAATTCACTACAAAAAAGTAAATCCACAGAACAGCTGGAAGACCACCCCTACAACATTGTACAAATTTGTACGAGACTGTAAAAATCTCTGTAAGCTAGTTCACCAACATGTTAGTAAAAAATGCAACAAACATTTAAAAAACAAAAATACAATGCAACATGGACAAAGGCCAGTATATTGGTGGACAAATGACATAGCCAAAATAAAAAAAAAGCCATTATTGAGAGACGTATCGCAACCAGATCGAAAGATCTATTAGCCAAAGAAACAGCACTAAGAAGATACAAATAGACAAAACAAACGCTTAAGAAAGCTATCATAAACCAGAAAAGGCAGGCATGGAATAAACTTTGTGAGGAACTAGACGATGATATTTGGGGTAAAGCCTATCAAATCGCGATGGACAAACTTAAACTTCGACCAGCACTAATTGTAAGTCCAAGTCAACAAGAGGGAACAAGACAAATAGATAAACTTTTTCCAAGCCATCCTTAATAGAGTGGCCAGACATACATATCCCACAAATAATAGAGAAATTTACAAAAAAGGAACTAAACGGGCAGTAGAAAAAATCAAAAATAATAAGGCTCCAGGACCAGATAACATTACGGTAGAAATCATAAAATAAGTAGTAGACACCAACCCGGAATTAATCACAAATATAATGAACTACTATCTAGAATGTGGCCAATTCCCCAATGAATGGAAGAGATCAAAACTTCTGTTAATAGAAAAGCCAAAAAAGGAACCCACAAAACCCACAACTTTCAGACCTTTATGCCTACTAAACACTTTTGGTAATCTTCTGGAAAAGCTAATTAAGATAAGGAATAAAAAAGAACTAGACGAAAAGAAAGTGTTACATGAAAACCAGTTTGGGTTTCGTGCATAAAGATCGACAGTCGACGCTCTAAAAAAGGTAAAAGAGATAACAGAAAACAAAAAACAAATCCCGTAGTAACAGAGATTTTTGAATAATGATTACCTTAGACATGGAAAATGCATTTAACTCAGCACCTTTGAGAAAAATAATAAATAGTACGGAAATGGTAGGTACAAGTAAGTACAATATAAGAATAATGCAATCCTATTTCAGTAATAGAGTAGTGCAAACGGCGAATGGTAGAAACTTTGCTATGACTTGCGGAGTCATACAAGGATCCACTAGGGCCTACATTATGGAACATATTTTATGATGAAGTTGTGCGAATGGAAATGGAAAAAGGCATTGAACTGTTGCTTACGTTGACGACCTGGCAATGATTGTACATGCAAAATTGGAAACAGAAATAGAAAACCTAACAGCTTACGCGATAGATAAAGTAACGAATAAACTCTTAGAACAAATCTGAAATGGTAATACTCAGTGGCTCTAGAAGACTGAGGGGACTGAAAATTGATCTGGGGAATACAACCCTAGAGTGTCAAGACCATGGTAAATACATTGGCGTATAGTATATAAAGACAAAGAAATGAGAATGTCAGAACACATCAGAAGGACATGCCATAAAGAAATAATATCATAAAATCGTTGCAAAGAATTACCCCTAACATCGAAGGACCAAAGGCCAGTAAACGAAAAATTTTAGCAGCAGTAGTACTGTTAGTCACAATGTACGCGGCACCAATATAGGCTCCAGCAAATAGGAAACTAGCAATTAGGATCACATCATACTACAGAACTGCTCCAACAATCGCTATCCTTGCCATAGCAGGACTGCCACCTATACATCTTAAGGTAGAAGAACGAATATCTATACTACAGAAAGGCAAAGAATACAATAATGAGAATAGAGAGGAAAATTTTACAAAATGGCAGGAACTCTGGAATCAGTACCATGGTAAAGCCAAAACATATATCAACGACATCAGGAAATAACAAGAAAGAAAATTCGACGAAATAAACTACCACCTAACACAAGCCATAACGGGACATAGTAAATTCTGCTCATACCTAAAAAGAATAGGAATAATAAAAGATGACAAGTGCTGGTACTGCAATGACATCTATACCTCAGACCACAGTGTTTTTGAATGGAATATACTACAAGTAGAGGCAAATATAAAATGTGGAGTGGACATTGCAAAAGAAAATATATCAGAGCTACTATTAAAGGACGAAAAAAACTGGACAGCAATAAATGACTTATTAAAGGGCATCTTAAAAAAGAAACAAACGGACGAAAGATATATGTGATTGACATCTCTTTAATTCTGAAGTAATGCCATAAGGCCGTTCCATAATTAAAAAGAGAAAGGCCAACAACGCTTTAAGGGTTGTTTTAATGGGTATACCGGCCTTGCACCCTCAGCCGGGAGTCCCACACAACCAGGTATGGGCAGAACCATATCGTTAATAATCAACTAACAGAATGATACTTTGACCAAGTAAACCAATAATAATATATGTTTTCAATGTGTGAAACTCTGTAAAATTTACTGACAGATTACTGTAAATAGGTCAGGGATGAAATATGGGGATCAAACATCGTATACGAAATTTGGCACCATTTAACGCGATATCGTATTTTTTTAACCTTCCAATCTCATTTACGGTCTCCAGAGAAATTCCTCTTTTTTAAATATTTATAAATCAATTTGTCAAGAAAAACTAACTAGGTCATATATAATGTATTTTAAATAGTGGGATCCGTGATTACCGTCTCCGTTTTGCAAATGTACGCAAATTCTACCATAAATAAAAAGATCATTTACATCTGAAATTGAAAATACCATAGCAGTAAATAAAAAGCACATTTATCTATGATGCAGATATACAAGACATTAGGGACAGG